ACTGTATCCTTAAATATTATTATATTTTATAGATTTATAGATAAATACCTATCCAATAATTAATATTACTAATATTATTGACATAATATAGGCATAACAGTTGTTTTATGCAAAAACATGTAACTAAATATGTCGGCTTATTGTAATTGTTGAGCTAGATTTATATTAAAAAGCTAAAAAAAAGATATGTCAGCTTAATAATACTGTTATATCGTTGAAAGTATCAAACTCCACGGATATTTTTGTATTTAAGTTAACTTATTTACGGTATTAGCAGCGTGTTTATAACTGTTGTATCTTATAAAATATTTTCGCCAAATATAATATATTGTAATTTGTAGTTATTCTACATTGTACCTGTGCAATTATTAGTCTTAATTTGTTCAGTTAAAAGTTAAAATATACCTATGTACTTTAAATAGATTTTATTTGATTGTTGTTTATCAGTTATCACTAATATATTTATTTTATTTTAGTGTAAAATGTAAATAATTAAAAAAATATAATATAATTTATAAATTCAAAGTCTTTCAAATGACCAATTATCTTTGAATGAAAAAAACATGTATCTACGTCACAGACTAACAAACATAATTTAAGTATGAAAAACTAAGTACATATATTCCATTTCCATAAATACTAGGAAGTAGGTAGGTATAGGTAAAATTTAAATCATTTGGCACATTCCAGATCATAGTTCAGTAAGTTTGTGCAATAGTTAAAGCCAATCTATAAAAATTTAAAATTTAAAACAATATCTATCTTTATTTCCGGTTTCGACTAAAGTCCATAAATAATAATATTCTACTAATATTGTACATGATTATATATATTTTTTTTTATCTTTTATAAATAAATGTGAAAATAAATTACCATTAAACACATTTTTAAATAATATAAAGAGTGTTATGTCCTAATATAAGGAATAGACATTTTCGGGATACACGATTTTATGAACGCATTTTACGTACTTTATATTAAAACTTAAAGGAAAATCTTAGGTAGTCCTCAATGTCTAAACAAGCTCACTCACAAATAACAATACACGTGCTATATACTGCGTGTGTTAAATTACGCATAGGTACACTTAATGCATTGTTTCTGATATACCGACAAGGTTATAATGTACCTTAAACAAATTTGAAAATATAAGGAGATTGAAGAACCCATCTTACATAAGATCTTGCCTATTTTTGCCACTATGAGCCGCCAACCTAAAGGTCATTGTGAAAAATACGAAACAGGCAGTATACAGATAGAAAACATTCAGTAGATGCTATAATTAGGTGTAGAATAAAATCAATGCTAGAAGGTTAAAACGATTGTTGACGACTCTACTTACTAAAGACTATATTTTCCTAACAAGTGATATTATTCATCAGTATTTCATCAATTGATATACTTACATATTTTTTCTCTCTTGATTATAAATATTATATCTCATTAAAATCAATTCATGGATTCGACGCTTTGGCCTTTCTATATACGCGTGGAGAAAATGTATCGATAAAATGTAAGAATTTAAGGCATGCTGTTATTGTTTATTGCTGTACTTTTATATTAGCAATTAAGAATTATCTTTTATGTTATTACCTACTGTTTTTGCTGAAGGTAGGCCTACTATTTGCCTTCGAGACTTAAAAAAAAATGCAAAGTTTATTTAAATGTAATTTCACACAAATAATTTTGGATAGGTACTTGAAATATTCACTGTAACTATTTTTTTAAGTAGGTATATATATAACATTGACAACTAGCCTGAAAATGTTTTCAAACAAATTTTACTATTTTAAAGCTTAAATAACTAATATAATTAGTATTAATAATTGTATTAACTTACAAATCATTTTTAAAACAAATGGTTTTTTATACAAAATGTATAAAAATGTTATTATATTACTATAATATAACCAGTACATCACAAATTCACATTTTATTAGATGGTTTTATTTTCGATAAAGCCTTTAGAATTTGAATAAAAAGTAATTATTATATCATGTTGTTTATAAAAATGTTGTCAGACTTAAGTAACGACTAACGAGACAACGAGTGATCATCATGTCATCTTATATRGTACTAAAGTAGGTAGTAGCCAGTAGGTCCCTATATGTCCYAACAATTCATAAAAAATATTAATTTTGATTGATTTAAAACCAAAACGGAATATGACAATTATGAATTAAATTTTACAAATTGCAACAATATTGTAKACAATTTACCTACACGCTACGTTTAAAAGTACCTACCCATAACTCATAAGTGCAAATAACAATAATATATAATACGATGCATATTAAACAATGTGAAGACGGCGGCAATTCTATTTAAGGGTTGATATACATATAATATATGGAATCAGGAGTGTGTTAATGGGGGGGGAGGTGCGAAGGTGTCATAGTAGTAGTAGTGGTAACGTGGTCTGAGAGTAGTAWAAAAATTCATATCCCGCTTTCAAAAAGCTGAGCATGGCGCTATATGGGAATTCACATATTATATAGGTATAGGTAGGTTTGGTCCATGGCCATAATCACATATAGAACATTATGTCATATTGTCATTTTAATTTATATGCATCTTTATATGGCAAGTGCCAAGTACCTACCTATGTATGTGTGTTTGCATTTCCAAAACATGGCCGGCTTCGGGTTGACCGCGAACACGATTTTGCATATTAGAAATTGTAATATAATGTACGATTCGCCAACGTCACTGATATAATTGTGGATACCTATTAACTGGTATATACCTACACGCCGGCGTCAGCTACACTGTGTTATGTCAATTATGTCATCACCATTATGATAAAATAATAAATCGCAATAAATCGCTAATCGAAAACAAGAGCTTAAGTAGGAATAAACGAATAAGACTGTGCCAGAGAGACAGACAGACAGACAGGGAGTGTGTGTGTGTGTTTGAGAGAGAAATAAACAATTTGAACGCAACAATAATATATTATTATATCAAATAATGAGACGTCGTCCGTCGTCGTACATTGAGCGCTTATAAACACACACACATTCGTGTATATAGGGTGTATCCGAAAGATTTTTGACTGCAGTTAAACATTGGAATGCCATTGAAATTATGTGTTTTCTTTCAATCTTCAGATACACCCTGTATACGCGTATTATACTGTATTGTACGCACGCACGCACACGCGCACACTTACGCACGCAC